GCATCCCGTCTTCATCGGCCCCGAGATCTCACCAGGCGGGCACTGGCCACTGGGCAGCAAGGCCCTCCAAGTTTCATCACGTTCTCCATCAGCTACGCAGCACACCCCTCCAGTCCAGTCCCGATCGCGCAGGCGGTCAGCCAAGTGTCGCCAGGGGTGCAAGCCTCAACAACCTAACCGTCTGCTCGCTTACGCACCTCTAAACCGCCTAGCCTCGCCGGTTCTCCGTCCGGGGACGACCATCGGCTTCCGCTAGTCCCTCAGCAGCAGTGAGCACATCCCAGGCGTTACACCTCGCTGGACGATGAAATTTGAACGTCGATCTCAAGCCCCAAAGCCAGCGGCCAACGGCAGGCCAGGTCAAGCGCACCATTAATTGGCTCAAGTGGCAGGAGCGAGTTCCAACTGCCCTGTCTAAACTGCTTGTCTCAGACAGGCACTTTGAATGAACAGCGCCAAAAGTCTCTTTCCGCTGTTCAGTATCACAAAACTGCATTCCCCAGGTCCAATGTCTTGGGGAGGGGCTCCCATCGGCTTCGAACGGCTCCGTTGCAAGACAAGTGGAAGGGACCAGCCCGATAAGGGGCCAGGCTCAGTGGTGGTTGGTGCTTGGCTTTCAATAAAGCCAGGCTGAATTTTCTCATTTCATACAGATCCACGATGGCGATGGGCTTGTCCATCTCGCTCCCCCAACAATTGGGATTTTGGGACACAATTTGGGGGTCCTCTTCGATGGGTCCCTTCCAGAAATGCCAGGGGTGCATGCTGAGCCAATAGTAGGCGGACGAAAATAAACAGGCCCCCCCACTCGAAGGGGGGGAAAACACAGCGCGCCGCAGAAAAAAAATCGCCAACCAGCGCCCGACCAAAAGCAGAGCTTCTCCACCCGCAGATCCCCAACATCTTGTCCGTCCTGCTGCGGGCGTGGAGACCGTGCAGCGCCGCCACGGCAGCAACAACATCGGCCACCCGGCCTGCCACTGACCCATCTGCAGCGGTGCAGCCAACGACGTGAGCCCGCCGAACCCATTGAGACTCGCTATGGCTGCGGACGAACGCCAACCGGCTCCAATGCCAGTTCCTGCTTCTCCCGCCCTCAACTTCAGTCCCTCAACCCTGTCTGCCTATCTCCCAACCCAACTTCGGATACAGAGTCTTCCGCGCTAATTAGCATGTCTTTCTGCAGCCTGGACGCACCCGTGTTACCTCTTGCCGCTGCGGCTACCACTACCGGTACTGCCGCTCCGAAGCCGAAACCTCCCTTCTCCCATCATCCTCCTCACGCCGAGGTCAACATCCCCGGCCAGTCCCTACAGACCGCCCACCAATTCCATAGCAACGCAACCGTCAGCTTCGTTGACACCATCGCCCGGACTTCCGTTCGTCCATATCCCACCTATTATCAAAGTTTGTCCCCATCACACCCCAGATGGTTGTGACAACCGAACGCCCCAAAGCGAGAGAAGCTCCGAGCTTTGGCCCCTAGGTCGTCCTGTCCTCGGCGCCTCGTATGGATAGAGGATGCTACGCTAGCTCCCTACAGAGATATGCTTACCCGCACTAAAAACGGGCGAGCAGATCCGATCCTGTCAAAGCTGGGGGACCCTCCGCGCGCAATCTGATACTCCCACCTCACCTCGGCATCCACCGTCACCTTCGACAAACGACGGACGACACTCTTGATTGGATGATGTCTCCTTGAGTCTGGCTGGGGTTAGCGACCATGGTGCGCTTTCTTGATTTCTATCCCCAAGAATAGCCAAGCTCTCACTCCATCTCGAACCTGTGACACCGGTCATTGCCGGTGAGGCGGCTTGCCTCTGTCTACCCAAGCAGCGGGATGTTTTGGACGTCAAGATCCACTCCCGATGGGTACATGACGGAAGGGAGGCTCCCCCATCTACAAATACGACGTCCTCCCCTGGCCATCACTTGGAGTCCAAAAGGTATTCGCCCCACTCCCTTGTGAACGAGCCGCATCGCCCCGTGCCTGCAGTAGAACAACTACCGACTGCATCGTGTCTCGAGCGGCTCCGAACGCCGGTCTTAGCTCATCCGTCCGAACTGACCTTGCAGGTGCGTGCGTCCACGTAGTCAGCGTGCTGCTCCGAGACTGCAGCTGCACGACACATTGGCCAAACGAAATCGGTCTTCCAGATGGCATGGCCCCGTGACAGGGGACGAAGTCGACGCCTTGGGCCGTCAAGTCCCGAGGCTCAGATGGACTCGTTCGCGCTCACCTACGCACTCCGCAACTCATTTTTGTCTGATGAACGGCGTTCAGTCAAAGTAGGCATGAGACCTGAGGCTACCTAGCTGTCTCGCACGACCCTTGACTAGACGACCCGCTTGTTCTCGACTCGAAGTGACTTGGCCGAACGTTGTCCGCTGTGGCTAGTGCAAAAGCCGCAATGAAACAAACAAACAGAACCGATGACGTGGATCCGGTTCCTGCATCCTGCCAAGTGCCGCAATTAGGGCGTAGCGGTTTTACATTCACATGCAGAGAACGTGTAGGCCAGCCATCAGCTGTCTCTATTCTTGGACTGGGGTAAAAGCATCCGCCGAAGATCTCCCAGTGAATTCCGGCCGACTTTAATCCTGAGTACGTGACATTAGCTAAGCCCGTAAGAGGCTAATCATGACCATGGCTGTAGCTCTTGCTGATCTTTACCGGGTCAATGATGAACATATCCTAGACAAATATGAAGTACATGTGGGCTTATAGCTCCTGAAAACCCGCCATTGGTACATACAGCAGGACCACGTAGGAGGCGAGGATGTCTCCGAATCGTTGTGGCTCAGTGAGGCTGGAGCGGCAAGTCCCGGGGTATGCCGGACATCGTCCAATCTACGTCTTTCAACCTCACCCTGCTCATGAACGGTAAATAGAGACTGCGATATTGCGTGGCTTTGAGCTTTGAATGATATTAGTTGTCACTATTCATTATGATCTATGGCCATGCGTTATTGTATTAATATTTTACATCTCACTCTGATAGTTCTTCTATTATTCAAACGCAATTGTTATTTGGACGCAACTCAATAGCAAATTAAATAACTAATAGTCCACCTATACTAGACATGTACTATGCAAAGTTGTTGATATAGTAGAGACGCTGCAAATAGATATACTAACGTTAACGAGAGGTTTTTTATCTTGAAACCGGGAGACATGACGTGAAATGTAAAGTCTCAACTTCACTAGCCTCACTGATATGCTACGTCCATTAGGTACGTGACCAGTGTGCTTTGAAACTCTCTGATAAGTGTGTATTCTGGTCACTCACTTAGCTGGATACATTGTAGGAGTTGTTTAGAGTCGCATGCGTCTCTACCACAGCTCAGCAAGTGGTTGGAAAAGCTCGAAGGCCGTCGCGATCCCCATTATTCTAGCCACACTCCGAATGTGGGTGAAGACAGCGCGATATCTGTTGAAATGGCGTGTTATTACAGCTACATTTTCGATTTCTGTGACGATGATTGACTTGACCGAGAATGCTTGATAGCCTCATGACTCTGCTTTGGAGCTCAGTTTTTATCACCTAGCAAAGTTTTGAAACCTCATTTAGTAGTGTTGCTCCAAAACATCGACAAATGACATATTGGCACAACCTGAGCATTCCTGATGATCAAAGGTCTGGAGTCTCTAACGCGACCTTGTAGTTCACCTTCCCAGGTTCTGCCTGCTCAAGGGTCAAGAGACCACACATCCCCTCCGTACATCTCTCAAGCTAATCTCTTCACCAAGACGGATGTCGTCGCTGCCGGGGTCATCTCCGCGCCTCTCTCGCTGAATAGCATTCCAATTGTAGGCATACCCATCATCCTTCATCCTTCTCAACAAAGGCTCAAACCTCCCAAACATCTCCCTGCCGCCTTCCAGGTCCGTCGCAACGTACTCACATTCCTCCACGCTCTCAAAAAACACACCGCCAAAGTCCCGGATAACCTTGCACTTCTCATCCATGCTCAGCACCATCTCCATCCGCCGATGCCATCTCTCAGGCGTCACCGGGAACGTCCGCCGCGGCTCGTCCGATTTGCCCTCGCTGTTGACGCAGACCACTGAGGGTACGTCCGGCGAGAACCGCACAACCCAGACGCCGCCTGTCGAGGGGTACCCGACGTGCGTGTCGGGCGGGTGGTGGAAGTCGTACATCACCCCCTCGTCGTCGAGGCGCTTCCTGTGGGAGATGTAGGCTGCCCAGGAAGGCCACCAGGGCGCTCCGAGGGAGAGCATGCGCGTTGCGAGGGCGTCTTCGACGGCGGGGGTCGAGATGCAGGTGTCGTGTGTGCGAGGGAGGTTGAGGTAGACCAGGTCTACGGCGGAGGGGTGGGATACTACGATGCCGCCTGTGCTGGGACGGACGACGAGGTAGCCTGCTCCGTTGAAGATGTTGGACCGCTTGGGAGGGGTTGGGGGTGTGTAGGAGGGATCGTATGCGTCGTAGCATATTTCCATCATCAGAGCTTGACTGGGAGGTCAGTTGGAGTTGAAGTCGGAGTCGCGACGTCAAGGATAGAGGGAACCGATGAAGATGTTGGTCAACAGCGTATTGAGGATCGGCTTGGCGAGGGAGCCTATTGTTGGAGCTGCGAGCAAACCAACGAACCTGGGTCACGTGGGTGATCATGTTTGCTGCCTTGTGGTGTTGGGACAGGCAAACGTCGCAAAGCTGGTTGGACATCTAGGCAGACGTCGGAGAATCGTCCTGTCGCTCTCAATCTTCCCTGATAATTGAACAGGCTGCTAATGAACCCGTGAAAGCTACAAATCGCACATGAAACGAATAGAAGACCAGATTCCAGGATACAAATGCTATTGCAGATGGTCTCAGCCTCTTCCACGGCCGAGCAATATCCTTCCTTCTATACTCACCATCACCACACCATCATCGTCCGCCCGTGCTGCAATTTCTTAGAACGGAGTAACCCAACCAACTGCCGCATTCTTGACCACCCGTGAAAGCTCGCATCAAGCTCAACAGCAAAACACCATGGCTGATGACGACCTCGAAGTATGCGACGACATCACAGACCCGCAATACCAACACCCACCGCACCCCATGCGATCAAACATCTTCTCCGGCGGGCCAGGCTACCTCGTTTCCCACCCCTCCCTCGGCGGCATCGTCATCTCAACCCCCTCATCCATCGACCTACACCACCTAAACCTCCCGCGCACCCACGACACCAAATTCACTTCCTTCTCCAAAAGCGAAGAAGACGACCTCGCGCAGCGCATGCTCCTCCTTGGCGGGCACTGGTGGCCAGACTGGGCCACTTACGCCAGACACAAAGAACGTCTCGACAGCGGCACCGTCTACGACTTTCACTTGCCCCCGGACGTGTACGTCGGCTATCCGTCCAGCGGGGGCGTGTGGGTGGCCAGGTACGTGCCGGACCGAGAGCACTTCCGCCACGGCCAGAAGCTCTCCCTTCCGCAGCGGCCACCGGAGTGGAACCGGGTGATGCACCGCGTGCTTACGATGGACGAGAAGTGTGAAGCGTTGAAGGCGTTTGGGGCTACGTTCTATCCGCGAATAGAGGACTGCGTGGACCTCCCGAAGTCTATGGAAGAGGGTCGTGAAGAGTTCCAACGATACGAGAAGAGCTTGAAGGATATGGATGACGGCGACTACCAAAGGCGATGGTACCTGAGATTTCATGGTCTCGACCAAGATGAAGACGTTGATTCGAGGACCACGGAACCTCGCAGCAAATGGGGCTGCGTGATGTTTTGATCCTCACAGAGTCACGATAATTAAACTCATCGGACCAGCAGGTCGGGGCATTAAAATCCAGTATATTCAGACCAGGTGTGGTAAAACGGAATGGGAGTGGGAATAAGTGTAAAGGCCCGCAAGCACAATAAACCCCGGCACCGCCATGCTCCCGTCCAAACTCATAATCATACCAACGCCCTAATGCATATATCCACGCCGGACCCCGGCCCCCGTAATCATCATAAACAAGAATGGTTTGGTTTGGTTTCGACAAAGGAAAAGTTGTTTGTAAACTGAAGACGACTTTCTTCTCTTCGTCGGTCTTCCATTCGAAAAGGATAGAATAATGGTAATGTTTGTGCGCCATCGCTGTGCTCGCACCGTTTCCCCGCCATGCTATGATGCACGACTCTAAAGGTAGTAGTAGTAATCAAAAACACGAGTTCCGCCTCCTGTGGTATCAATTCTGCTTCGCCTCGAGATGTTTAAGCAACGCTTTCAACTTCAGTACGTCTCCTCCTCGACCAGGTCCTGGGGTCCGATTCTGGAACTCCTCAGGCCCATGGAGCTTCGCCTGCCGGATACACTGCCTCCGCTCTGGCGTCGGCTGCTTGGCATTGGAATGCCGCTCGTCGGCATGGGGATGCCACTGACGGAGCTGTCGGCCTCAAGGCGGGAGTATGTGCCTCGCCTGCTGGGTGTGCGGTACTCGTCCTCGTCGTCTTCGGGCATTTCCATGCGGTGGTGGCTCACACTAATTGACCTTCCATGTCCGCGAACGCTGCTCCTCAAAGAGTCTCCCAGGGAGCTCCGGGGGCGTCCCAGAGGTGTCCTGGTACCTGACATGCTGGTACGGCTAATAGGGCGAGGAGGTGCCATATCGGTGCGACTTGACGGCCGGGCGTATGATGTGCTGGCCCGCGAACTCGGTCGAGAGATTGACTCGTCGTGGCCGGCGTTGGGATTCCGGTTGGGCAGGGGACCGAACGACAACCTGCTGACACCCGACGTACTAAGGCGGGGCACATGCTTTGATGTTGTGCTGGCAGAGAAGTTGGATGGCGTTTCGTCGCCCCGCACTGAAGAGGCGGTGGAGCCCGTTGGGCGCTTGCGAGAGCGGATCGTAACCGTCGAAGGCACACTGTGGACTCCATTGACTGAAGATCGGGGCGAAGCGCGGGGCGGCGTGGTGACAGGTGCGGGAAGCTTTGATCGGGCATTGTGGACACGAGCTTCCAGGCGCTGCATCTGCGCGGTGAGTGATCGGATGTGGCTGAGCGAGTTGGTGGTAGGCATGCGCTGAGAGGTTGAGCGGGGCGCCGTGCGAGTGGCAGGAGTGCGGGTAGTGGTGTTGGCACCGGAGACACGACCGCCGGTAGGTCGGCTGCTCGTGACGGAGGCAGTGAAGGATCGGGGCTTCGGGGTGACGCTGTGCTCGACGGACGGCAGGCGGGAGACTTTGCGCGTCGTCGATGCGGGTGTCCTGGTAACCGTCCGCCTGGGTACGGATGCGGAGACGTCGGACATCGGGGGCGAGGGCGGTTCCATGAGCTCGGCCTTTGCGGCGGGCAGAGCCTCCGAGTCTGGTGGGGTTGTGACCATGGGGGAGCTCGCTGTCGAGTTGGGAGAGTGCTCCGTGTTCTTGTCGAATGTAGGCGACGACATGACGGAGAGGTCGGTGGAGATGTGGGACAGGTGGCGTGCCTCTTGCTTCTTGAGCTTGTCTTGGAGCAGCTCGGCTTCGATCTTGAGATCGGCAAGCTCCTCACGCAGACGTTGCGCCTCGATGCGCAGGGTCTCTCGCTCTTGCTCGCCCAGCTTGATTTCCTCCTCCATCATGACTGCACGCTCGATCGCAACGTTATATTTTGATTCAAGGTCCTCGAGGGATGACGTCGTGTTTCGCGCCTGTCGCTCGAAATCGTCGTTGGCGACCTCGATGTCGCGCAGCTTTAGCTGCATGGTCCTGTTGGTATCGCGCAGTGTGGTAATCTCCTTCTCTAGCGTGTTTTGAGCCGAGTTTGCTTCCGTCTTGGCTTGCTTGTATTTCGTCTGCAAATTGGGCCTGGTCAGCGCTGGCCGTCGCAATCGCATCCATCCCTAGATGCTGCAGGCGGGAGAAATCTCACCTTCCACTCCTCAACCTCGAACTTGAGGCTCTCAGCCTTCTCCTGCAGGCCGCGTTCCCTCTTCTCGGCAGCCTCAATGTCCTTCTCCAACTCTTGCTCCAGCTCCTTGCTGGATTCACGGAACTCGGCAAGTTCTCCCTCGAGCACCTCGTACTGGGCCTTGTACCAGGTCAAGGCGTCCTCGGCGCTGGTCGCCTCGCTGGGCGGAGATGAAGGTGGCTCTGCCATGGTTGCTATCTGTTGCTACTGTGACGTCGTCGCCTCGGTGATCAGACGGATTGCATGTGAAGCTCGGCGATGGTGGTGTTTTGGGTTTTGTGTGTTTTTGTCGCAGGTCGTGCAAGGCGCGGGGAAAGTATGCGGTCGCAAACGGTAGCGGTTGAAGATATACAAAGGAAAATTGTAATGTTGTGTGGAATGATCGTAAGAGTCGTGAAATGCGTGCTGTGCGGTCGTCGTTAGCTTGGTGTTGATTGCGCAGATTGAGGGACGCGGTCGCAGCGAAAACGACGTGCGGTCGGAAGTGCGGACGTACCGACTTTGTGGGTTGTTGTGGTGGCTGGTCGGCTGGGTCGTCGTAACAGAGCAGAGAAAAAGGATGATGGCCGAGAAAGAGGAGCAGCAGAATAGAATGCAGATGTCGTCGGTTTGTGTCGATAGTCGCGGTGGCTGGTGTCGATGATGGATGTGTGTGTGTTCGATGCGCCGCCTTCGGATGTATTGCGGTGGGCGAATCTCAAGGCTGCTGCTGCGACTGGACTTACCTGACTTACCGGTGGATTGTCGTCGCTGGTCGTTCGTTGGTCGTCGTGTTGTCGTCGTCGTCGGTAGTGAAATGCAGTTGTCGATGTTGACTTCGACAAAAACAAGTCAGGGACTGCGACGGACTGGACGGGACTACTAGACTGACTGACTACTGGACGCAGGACCGACTAAGGAGTGGTGGGATTGGGCATGGCTGGGACAGGAAAGGAAAGGGTCAATGTTGATGTCGGTCAGGCGTGTGTGCGTGGTGTGTGTGGTGGTGCAGTGCGTTGCTGTTGCGGGTTGCCCCCTGTCGCCCCTTGTCGTGGCAGTGCGCCAGTCCCGATCGGGTAAGGCCTGCTACCACGGGCAACTGGACTGCTGGATTATGTAAGGCGCCCGTGAGCCAGTGAGAGCGGTGGGAGCGCTGTTGAAAGTGGGGGCGGTGCCTTTTTTTGGATCGTCTGCAGCAGCGGCAAGCAACAACACACTGTGACTCTTTTGCCTGCAGGCTGCTTGCTGCAGTAAGGCACCTACCTGCTGCATATGCAAACGATACGTACCGCCGCACCCGCTCCTTCCACATTCCAGTGTCCTTAACACATTTATGTGTTCTTCCCCATGTTATTCTGTTAAGAAAGCCGACCAGACACCTGGGGGAAGGAAGCCGCAAAGCCCAGAGCCCCTCCTTCGTCATTTGCTTCCCGCAGCAAGGTCATCGCCTGCAGCTTCACTCTTCACTCTTTCAACCACCTCGAATCCTCCCCTCCTGCCCCCAACACGTCAACATTTTCTGCCTCTCCAAAGCTACACCCGCTGGCGATCATGGAGACTGCGGTGGACCTGCAAGGCTTGTAACTCAAGAGGGTCACTCTAGTCCTGCCATGCGAAATGCACAGCACCGCGGCCTCAGCCTTCCTCCCCATGAGAGATCCCCGTCCGGCCCGGTCAATCAAATCAGTCCAGTCGCAACACAGTCAAACAGCATCACAGCATCGTGTCTCACTCGTCCATCAAATCAGACCGCCTCCCACCGCCTACGCGTCTTTGTTTTCTTACCCTCTGCAAACGCGCAACGAACCATAACCGTGACTGAGCGCTGCAGAAGCCCCCCAACCAACCGCCGTAGATCTACCTGCGTAGCTGTACTAACAAAAAAGCTCCAATCCTATCCTCGGACGATGACGGTTGCAAGCAGGCCGCTCCCGGTCCGACTGAACCCCCAAATCAGGGCAATCCCAACTTTTGACCTTCATGCAAATGCACTGTTCCCTTGGAGCCCCTTTGCCATTTCATCAGAAACCCACGCCAGCAGCTTACCCACCGCCCGCGGCACCACCCTGCACGACATACCGTCTGCCACCGATGCGGCGCAGGTGCCGATTCGATCGGAGTAAAAAAGTGTCCCGAAATCTGCTTCATTTTGGTTCGCAGATGGATGCAGAGAAGCTAAGAAAGATCAGACGTCCTGACGTTTGTTTCACATTCCACGCGCTAAGGGGCCCAACCAGTCCCTTCCGCATGACAATATCAAAAGTCTCATGCCCATGAACGGCACACCGCACCTTACTCATTCGCCCACCCACTCACCCAGCGAGCTTGGGAAATGTTAATGCACCTGACCTGGCCTCGCCCAGCCTGCTAAATTAAGTGATTTTGATTCACCACCTCGGGAGATCCTCATCCTCTTCGCCTAGACAGGGGGGTGGGTGTTCTTCCGGTCACGTCCGACCGCTGCGCTATGCCTTCCGCTGCCAATTTCTGTCCGGCCCGCGATCGTCGCATCCGTCGCAGATACAACTGCCACCCCCCTCCGTCTTCATGTCGCTTCCGGCGTAACCTCCGCCAAACGGGATCCAAGCCCGAGCTCGGGCGGACTGCCATTTTTACCTACGTCTTCGGCAAAACCCATGTCGCCCGCTCTCGACAATCTCGGCGCACCGATCGCAACCAAGATGCTGACCTGTTTTGTTTCTCACCGCCTGCCATGTCGATATTCTGCCGGTTGATGCAGGACGACCGCCATCGATACTCGGAATAGCAGCTCCTCAATCATGGCGTTGTGGCTAACAATATGTACGAAAGGTTCTACTAGTGGTGTGTCCTCAAGCGGTATACCTGTCATACGAAACCATAAACCGAAAATATATGCCGAAGAAGAAGGAGAGGAACGAAATGTTCACTGGCCTACGGTTACGTCGCTGCACTGCTACTCTAATCCTAGCGATATTTTCACTGGCCAACCTTGTTCCAATTCCGTGAACAGTAGAGGTGGCCAACCACAGGGAAGTGCAAGCAACATTCTCAGAAACAGCAGTAGTAAACCTCACAGTACCATGTACTATGTTTAGACCCATTACGATGTTGTAGAAGATTGGATCTGGGCTTGGGGATGGCAAAACCATTCATTTTATGTACTAAAAGAGTGACTGATAGAAGCAGGGCCCTGCGTAATTCAAAGTGCAAACTAAACACCAATCCACTACTTTTCACCCAATATACCGACAAGAAGCGAACGACCCCCAGACACGAGAGGCTGTTCAGCCCCAATCATGAATGCGCACGCATCGGTTTCTTAGACGCAGAGGACGGAGTTGCCAGTGTGCTTGCACTCTAGAACGTTGTTGTCAGCAACTGATCCGCAGAAACCCCGCTAAATATGGTAAAAGGCGAGGAGGTGTGTACTTACTGCCCTTGAACTGGCCACCGACACCGTTGGTCCAGTAAGCGCAGAAGGCGCCGTTGTTGTGGACGCTCTCGGTGTTCATCGTGGTGCAGGCCTCGTGGACGGTAGCTGGTGTCACATCGGGGGTTAGCATCTCAACGGACTTGGGTCTGATAAAACGGCTCTGAAGCGAGAACTTACACCCGCGGATAGTGTAGTACGTGTTGTTGGCGACCCAGACGCCGTTGGCATCCTTGGTCCAGGCGTGGGTGCCGGTGGCAAGCAGGGCGGCGGCGGAGAGGATGATGGCGGAGAACTGCATTTTGAATTGAGATGTATGGTTTGGATGAGAATGGTGTTTTGAAGGATGTCGGAGTGTTTAGAGGGGAATGTGATCGTGAGTTGTTTGAGTCTAGAGAAATTTCTTTCTGAAGTGAAGAGGAAGCCGGTTTATATAGCTTTTGGGTCTTTAGTTTTCAGAGTGATTCCATGACAGATGCATGCATCTGACTACGCGCGGCCATGGAAGAGCCATGTCGTTCACCAGATGGAAGAACTCGTGGAGCCTACGGACAGACTATGCGATCCTTCGGAACACTTTTCGCGATCTTGTTTCGTTGCCTCGGACTCAGCTCTGTGTTGGACGCACAAGTACGAGACACAAGATCCTGCTGCGGCAGGGAGCCTCGTCTGGTACGAGGCGTAGCTCATCATGTCCTAGACTTCGCTGCATAGACGGAGTCCTTCTCGTCTACTATCTACGGACTAACTCGTGGGTCATGGGGCCGTAGCCTTTTCCTCGGACTCAGCGGAGCTATGGATCTGCACTTAGGCAGAAAGCGTAGCGACCCACTGCTAAATGTAGCTAGGAACTGCGCCTCGGATGCAAGCTCTACGAGAGACTCTGCTGTTGATGTCTAGGGGTTGAAATGAAACTATGACTAGTATTTTCAGCATGTAGTACCTCCTGCCTTACTTGGCATTCTAAAGGTTCGAAAGACGCGGGCTTCCACATTCCCATACCTGATGCCAAGAACATGGCCCCAAGTGGCAAAGACAAGCTGGCTTACTACTGTCTCTCGATGTAACACGAATGGATTGTGCATACTGACATTAGGCAATGATCTGGTTCTATCGAAGTTCCGGTGAAGAAATGCCAAGGCGTTGGTTGAAGCTGACAACAGCCAGGATTCGTGCGACGTGAACCACTTGACGAAGCCATGCGAACCAACACAAATCTCCCAACACTCGTGTTCATACTTGATTGTGAGTACGAGACAGGCAATAAAGCAGTATTGTTTTGCCGTGAACTATAGGAGGTAATTTTATTCCCAGCCACTGAGATACTTGCTCCAGCGAGGGCTCGAAGACCCGGACCTGAATACAATGATCAACAGCAGCCCTGGACGTGTGACTTGACCAGCGGATAATTGCATGTCCTCGCATTCCTGCCAGGCAGTCGCCAAGGGAAACTCTGAATAGTACTGAGTTCAGCAATTGACAAATGACAAGACAGGTCTCACAAACCAAGAGATTAAAGTCGTTAATCATTCGATGGCAACATCGGCATGGGACAGGGCTGACGACGTTGCAAGGGATACAGGACCGGAAGGCTTCTCCGGTAGGGCGGGGATGTTTAAAAGAGCGAAGGGACCAATCGCGACGTTTCTGACTGAATAGCCCGGGGTTAGCGCCCGCCCGGGACGGCACGGCTTACACCGGTGGCCGTGGGCTTACGCAGGGGGGAGATCGTCATCTCAGACTCCCCCAACGGAAGTTTTACCTACTGAAATGTCTTCTCCTTCTTTGCTGCAGTCACCTTGATTTAAAATGATAATAATCAATAAGATCTGTCTCTAGAAGTTTAATAGAGACGAACGAAGGCTAGGAAATCGTTGTTTCCTGTTAGATATTTCGTTGAAGTCGACTGAGGACATATGTAATCCTATTAGTCGCGGCACCTGTGAGGTGCAGACGAAAGTCAAAGGCAATAACTGTTAGGTTGGCAACGATAAAATGCATGTGTTATTGTAATTTTCTTCTATCCTTATCCTGCTTGACGCGAGAATGCCCCTTAGAGGTATTGTCACGTCACGTCACGCGGGCCCACTAACTCCGATGTATCACGTAAACGCCGAAGGATCCAGTACCGGTCTGACAGTCACAGTCTGACCCGAACAATTTGACAACAATCAAGACGTTGCCTGGTTACCCCGCTTTCCATGCGTCATATTACTTTTATAAATGGTCAGGTGAATATCATCAGCCAGGCACTTCAGATATAAACACTCTTCAAGACCATCGGTGTCCCAAAAAAACCGCCCTACTCGCCTATCTAGTCCCCTCACATCATGGCCAAGACTAAAAAACTAGCCAAAGAGAGCGTCGTGCGGTTAACAAGTTGGACCCGGTTTTACCTCCCGCGGGAGCAGGAGTGGCCGACGTGGTCGGTAGGCCAAGCTGGTGGTGGCCATTATGGCCCACTCAAGGGCGTGAAAGGTTGTTTTATGGCATCTCTGGGGAGAAAGGTTGATGACCCTGAAGAGGCCGTCTATATCATTGGTGAATACCATCTACATCGAAAATACATGACATCCTTCCCTTGACTGACTTGGCTGTATTGTGACATCAAACAGAATGGACTACTATGGAAGCCCTGGAGAGCTTCCAGTCTTCTCCCGCCTGCGCAGAGTTCCTGCGGGGTCTCCCCGAGAACAACGACGAGTCGCAAGTCGCAGTCGAGTCCGGCTCAGCGCTAAGGAGAATAACGTTGGACGATACTTCCTCATCGACAGCACCTGCAGCATCGCGTTTCCTCGTATTTAAGCATATCACTTCAAGCCCCAGCTCGAACCTAGAGGAAGGCCGGGTCGTTGTGACTTCCTTTTTGGTGCCGCAAACAGTTGACGACGTGACTCGCATGTGGACAGATCATTTCTACAAACCATTCCAGTACTTTGTGCCCCGCGGCTTCGAGCCCGTGGTAGCCACAGGCAGCTTTCTGTCCAAGTTCTCACACGAGTGGTTCGGGGTTCTCTCGGAAGACCGCTGGGTAGAGGGCAAGTTTGGAAAGCTGGACGACGGCCAGGGTCGGACGATCATCTCCCACTTCCACCTGTGGCCATGGGACCGCGGTGCCACCCCGGAGATGGAGGCGGCGTCGGCGGCGGACCCGGAGGCGAGAGAGGCGTGGGATCGGGTTATAGCGCAGGTCATGCCCCCGGCGACCGCCTGGGTACAGGAGCGATGGGAGATTCGATTTATGCCTCCCCCGCCTAAGCCTGAATATGATTCGGGGGAGCTTTCCGAGTATCAAAAAGACAAAGTGGAACGCCTTATGTCGTTCCGCGAGGCGAATGGTCCCAAGAAGGATTAAATGTCGAATTGAGTTTATGGGTCAAGGCTTCGGATCAACAGAAGTTCGCATTTCTATCAGAAGGAAGGGGCATAGGAATATACAAAGCTCAAAACAACATAAGGTACATAAGACACACCGCTTAATTATCACATCACAGTACGCAAAACTGACAGAGGGTCAATACATGGCCTGCAAGAACCCAACGAGTAGACGCTGTGATCAGTAAGCAATCACCACTGAGAGAACGGCTTCAACTAAGTAATATATAGCAGAGTATTAGGAATTCTATGACTAAAGGTCATACATGTACTACTAGATCACCGCCTTATGCCCCGTTAAGGGTATCGACGATGGTGAAGCCGGTGTTTGTACTGGCATTCCCACCCGCGACAATGTTGCTGATACGTCCCCTGCAGCACGATTGACATTTGGGATCATCGAACGGCGACCCGCAGGCTCTGCAGTCGAAGTCCGCGCATGGGTCGGTTCCTTCATCCCCTCGGCCGCCCTCGAAGGTGTACAACAGGCATCCAACCTGACATGTGCCACCGACACCACCATTATTGCCTGAGTGGACTGTTAGTCTACTTTCATTCTCCAAGGTCGTACAGGAAGATACGTAAAGCTACTCAGGAAAGCCACTTACACTTGGTATAATCTTCCCGGACGAGCAAGTAAGCCGTAATGAGACTGGGCGAACCAAGCGGGAACCCAAAGCTCTGTCTGTCGACCGAAGTGACGCAGCCGGGAACCCAGCTGCAAGTATAATCGTAGTTGACGCCGTGGGAGTCCGTACGGCGCAGCGTGATAGCCGCATCGTCCGGCCCGAGCGTGTCATCATCGCCCATATCACCGCGCAGATTGCTGAAGGCCGTAGAGAAATCGTCCTGGTCGCCCGACTGGATATCGGCGTGGCCCGGAAAGTCAGCTTCGTTGAAGCAGTTGATGGGCCCCCGAGTGAGCGGCGTCTCATCGGTGGGAGGATTATCAGGCGGTTGCGTTGTCGTCGAACCGGGACCTATCGTCGTTGTTGGCGCCGAGTAGCCGCCGGAACTGGGGTCCTTCGGGTCCTGGTACCCGGGCGGCGCGCTTGTTGGGTTGGGGTTGCACCAGTAGCCGGAGCAGATGGTACCGCCGCACGCCGTGCTCGCGCCGCCACAGGTCGGCCCCGCGGTGGGTCCTGGAGTGAAGGAGAGAGTAGAACCACCGGCGGTTGCTCTGTTGCGGGCTATTTCCGCCGCGAGGGACGAGAGTGCGGACATGGTGAAGGCTTCTCCAAGGTCGTTGGTCGCCCAGCTTTCGCCGTAGAAAGTGCCGACGGGAGCGGGGGTCTGAGTGCCAAAGACCTCGGTTTTCGAGTCCGAGACACTGATGGAGCAGCCGGTAATGGTTTCGCACCGCGTTGTTGACGACGTGGTGGTGCCGGCCGAAACGTAGTTCGTGGTGGTACAGGCATCGGCCTTCTGCGTCTCGCACTCGGGCTCCGATTCGGTGGTGAGCTGATGATCGTATCCAATGGTGAATTTCGGCCAGTTGGGCAAGTTTCCGTTGATGTTAATACCAGGAGGCGGGTGGATGATATCAATGGGCGGTGGCATGGGGCCGTAGATGCCCGGCGGCAGAATCCAGCGCCAGGATCGGACGCTGACCTCATTCCAAGAGATACAGAAGAAGAAGAACCAGGCGGTGCAGGGCACAAGAACGCTGTCATCATCAGGCTCGGGGTCCTCGACCTCCTCTTCCGAGGGGATGATTGAGCCGTAGCGTGGCCATTCCGTGAAGAGTGGCAGCGGCCCGTCGGTGGTGGTGGGAGACCCGGTCTTCCAGGATGTGACGAGGGAGCAGTCGACGCTAGCTACAGCCGTGGCGGGTCCGAGGAAGGTCAGGATGCGAGTTGTCGGGCACGCAAAGTTCAGAGTCAAGTCCAAATTCTCGGTACACGTCGTCGCCACGACGACTTCCGGTGTCTTGAAAGCGATGGCTGTGGAACGGGGACAGTCAATGGTGATGACTCCAGTCGAGCCCGGAAACGTCACTGTCGTGACTGTAGCGCCGGGCACCGTGATTGTGCTGCTGATAGGAGTGTAGTACGTCGTGCTGGAGGGAAGACCTGAGCCGCTGGGCGGAGGTAAGGTGCCTGGATTCGTATACCCGGTCGACGGACCTCCATTGATAAGGGGCCAAGGTGGAAGGGGAACCACACGAGTGGTAGAGCCGCCCTCTCCATCCGGTAACGTAACGGTAGCATCCGGAACGCTTATGCTGGGATATATGGTGATGGGCATTGCTCCCGACGATGTTACGTTCACGTTGGAGAAGGGCATGCCGTCGGTGGTAATTGCGGGTATCGAGACGGTCACAGTAGTAGTGGAAGTGACGAAGATGGTGGTGGCAATACCGCCAATGGCAGTGCTTGAGAACCCTCCAAACTCCAGCGACGTGACATAGTCGCTGGGACTGATGGTCGTTGTTGAACCCAACGACTTCGTAGGAATGACCAGCATGCAGGATCGGGACGCGACCGGGCAACTCACCGGGGGAGAGGCCCATACTTCAGTTCCAACCCATACAATGTCGACGCTATCAGACCCTGGAAGCGGCACCCATACGCTGACCTCGGTTGTAAACCCTCGCTGGTTGTCTTCCTGAGGGACGTTGGTGTTATCGATGCCACTGGCTATGTTGATGGTTGCTACTGTGAATAGGTTGTAAATGACGACGCCGGTCGAGCCCTTAACCTCCAAGATCCGGTCCTGGCAGTTGTGAGTAGGAATGCAGTCCTGATAGTACTCGTTGAAAAAGCTGTACAGTCCAGCCGCGTGGATCAAGACGTCTTTCGAGTCAATGATTTGCAAGCCCCAGGCGTAGTTACACCGGTCATCCCAAACATTCGGCGCGATCTCACACTTGCTGAAGTCCGGATCATTGGGGAAACCAGCGCGTGGGGCCGCACGGAAAGGAGCAGGAGGGCCAGGGTTGGGTTGGTAATACGGCGACTCAGTCTGGATGTGACCCATGTACACGCTCTCGGCACCGCTGAGAAGATAATTGTAGAGGACTGAGTGCTCCGAGCCGCCGCCGTAGAACCACGACGGGCCCTTGGACTCGATTAGCATGCCGCGGGCCCCAAAGACGGTGATCTGCGTCGAGCTTGAGTCGGGCTGGTTGTAGATGGACTTGTCGTTATCATGGTCCCCCACCCACGCCCACACGTTCTCGAAGTACCCGTTGGCCTGGGACGTGACGCGGAACATGAGCGAGGCAGCGACGCACTCGGCCTTGATACTGAACTTGGGGCATTTGCTCAGATCGAGATCGGTGCCCAGCGCGCCGCCGACGCGGAAGTGCGAATCCCACATGGCCGCCGCGCCCTGCTCCACGGCTGCGACGTTCCACTCCATCAGGATTGCACCGGCCGTGGCCCCGCGCACCGAGAAGAGCATTTCGGTGATCTCCATGGTGCCCACGTCGCCCTTGTTGCCGACCTGAACCATGACTTTGGGGTTCTGTATGTCGCTGAAGTAGAAGCCCGAACCCAGGATTTGCGACCACAGAGAACCCTGAACGACGGAGCCGGTAGGGATGTTCACCGTGGATCCAACCGTGTAGACTCCTGCTGGGAAGTAGGCGATCTGACGGTTGTCCGCGGCCTTGAGGAGGAAGTTGTTGATGCAAGAGGCTTGATCGCCGGTGGCATCGTTCTTGCATCCACCATCCGTAGTCGCCACCAGGAAAGAGCCGGCGCCGGTCTTCTCGTACTGGGGCCTTGAACGCACGTAGAGCAAGCCTTTGGAGTCATCCAGGCCCTTGCCCCTTCCAGGGCCGGAGAAGGCGCCAGTCTCAGTCGATCCCTCGGAGCCATTGTATCGCTTGCCCGTGGCCCATAAGTCAGAATTCCCAGACAACAAGTTGTTTCCGCCCGTACTTCTGACGGAGTTGGCCACGTTATTGAATTTGGTGTTGTCAAGGACAATGTTGGGCGACGTAGGTAAGCTGTTGGTCAGGACGCCGATCTCCACGTCGCTGATGGTAGAATCGACAATGGACACGCTGCCTATACCCTGGCCGCTATCACCGCCCACCCCTGAGATATTGAAACCGATAGATCCGCCGTTGATGGTGATCTGATGCCAGTTCCAACCCCAGTCCCAGACCATTTGCACGGCAGTATTGCACTGGTTGAAGACGAGGTTACGCGCCGTGTACTGCTGAGACCCTGCTCGCCAGCCGATGTTGCCGCCGTTGAACTCAAGGTCAGACACGAACCCGCCACTGCCATTCTCCGTGAAGATGCCGACAGCGGTGGTGGAGCTCGTGGTAGGCATGTCGAACACCAGGTTCTGTAGGGAGGTGGCCTGGGACACCTGCCAATGGATACCCGTTGGCACGAGGTCCTGGTCATTCTCCGCTGTCGAGTCGGGCATGTCGGTCAAGTCGAAGCGGAAGTTGCGGATCTGACGAAAGAACTGATTCTGGTTGATGTACCACTGCTGGCCCGAGGCTCCGGGAATGTAAGGATCTACGTCGAACAGGGCGATTCCCTGGAAGTCGTCGCAGCCTTTGATGATGGGCATATCGTTGGGGTCGCCAACGAACTGCGTGTAGTAATACTGGATGACGGGCGTACAGATCTTATAGGTACCTCCCGGGAAATAGACGATAGCGCCCTGCGAGAATGTGTTTCCGCATTTCTCACCGCATCGCGTCCGGTCGCCGCCGACGGAGTCTTTGTTCCAGCTGGCTGAGGCCGCGTTTAGTGCCTCAGTTGCGTCCGACTCTCCCGAGTTGTCGGCGCCAAAGTCGTCGACAACGTTGCGGAAGAACTGGTAGCCGTCTCCGCCAGCAAATGGTTGCTGTTATTCATAGTCAGTTGGAGAGACACACGTTGAGACGAATTGCAGTCAACTTACTGTTCCCAATGGTCCTAAAGTAGACAGCCAGAAGTCGGATGACTGCCGCTTTTTGGGGGGCGCCTTGAATCTTGTTCGCTTGATGGTGTTTTTAGACCCCGCGCCGTCGTAGCCGCCGCGGAGCACGACGCCGCTCTGGAGGTTGGCCAGGTATGTGTTCAGGCTGCCCGAGTAGGCCCATACTGGGCCATTCTGTCTGCCCTTGTCTGGCGCGGTCTTGTAGTAGTTGTGCTGGTTGTCAACCATATACGCCGGCGCCGGCTATGAGGCAACTTGTTAGCGTTGTCCATCTCAAACACGAAGAAGAGCCACGGCATACCCGTGGACCATGATCAAGATTGGTCCCATTAGAAGGCAAAGTAGTGTTTCGTCCGCGAATCGGGATGGCTGATAACACGAGGCTCCCTTGGGCGGCCAGCAAAGTCAAGAAAAGAGCAAGTAATGCCGCCATGGTGCTCTACCATCTCAGCCCGAAGAGCAGTGTGTCAGTGAGGCGTACGAAGAGGTGCGAGGTGACTGAGAGAAAGACAGGAAGGATGTGACTCTTGGGGGAAGGCAATTCGAATTTCACCAGAAGACATGCGATCATGAATAACACCACGTCAAGTGGCAAGTCCCATGAAGGAATGCGGAGACCCGGTTGTGCGAGACACAAGTCCCTCGCGCAGCTGCCTATTCATTACTTGCCAAGAGTCCGGTATGCATAGCGGTATTCGGACAGACACTATCGCGTCTCAGCTGATGAGATGAAGGTCAATCTCCAGGCTGCAGCCTCGCTTCGGAGTAACCATCCTATGTCTAGTACCTTTTGGGCTCGGGAGGAAGCCGGATCGTTAGGCTTGAGTTAAACTAGCGACTCCTGCATGAATCACTTCATCACAGTCGTATTTGGGGGCTATTCAGTGACCCACTCGTGCTGTTGAGTGGTTGAATGATATGTTCTTCCAGGATCTTGGCCATTGTAGATATTGAGTTGACACCACAGCCGCTGTCAGCCTGGGCAGATCTATTGCAAGGACTTTGGTAAAACCGGGGATTGATAGTCTCCACAAGGCCGTTGAAGTAGGGCTAAGCATTCATATTACATCGATACAACCTTATTAGACCGAGACGGGTTGCAGGAATCCTAGAGCAGGGGATGATGCAGTCATCTTTGGAAGTAACAGTATGTGCATGTGGTCAGTGAACTCTACCATGCAGTTTCCCGTATGCTGCATTGGTACGGCGCAGCGGCGGGCAACTGACCGGCTGATGCGGATGGCGAGTATTTTTGTTCCTGACTGCAAGTTATGCTTCATTGGACAAAGTACCAACTCGGCCTCGGATGAACACATGCATCAACGCGAACCTATCGTCTGCCTGAACTCGAAGACATGAAGCTGAAGATTGTGAGACCATACTGTATTTTGATATCCCCCGCCTCCAAGTGTAATGATACGTTGCATACCGAAGACCTAGGTGATTATAAGTTGGCTTACGCACTTCGCTTCGGAGCAGCTGCCATCACCGACGTGACACCATCCCCAAGTTCCTCGTCATCCTACCTAATCAGAATACCTCAACTCTCTCAAAGCCAAACTTGACATCCTCCACATTCAAGATGCTCTCCAACCTCATCAACCTTGTCCCAATGGCCCTCTTCGGCGGAGCCATGGCAGCCCCCAGTCCCATCGACCCAGCGGTACGCGTCTGCTACGCGACGGAGACGCCCAGCCAGCTGTGTTATACCGCACCTGACAACATCCCGCAAGACGTCCTCGTTGAGGACGTCCAGTTTATTGCGTCCTACCTGCGCTCGTACGGTGCCCAGATCAGGACCGGCCGCCTCTTCAACATGGCGGCTGCCGACGCGCCCGATTGCGGCGAGTGGCTCGTCTACGCCCACGGCACCGCGCAGGCCTTCGCCAAGCACATCAACAACACCGTCAACTCGAGCGTGCTCTTTGCTGACATCGCCACCACCATCGACGGCGGCGTCGGTGCCAGCGAGGCCCAGATTGCTGCCTCCCTGCTTGGGTGCGGCACCGACGGCGGGTCGCTCGGGGTGCTCGTTAACACCGCCAACCCGACTTACTCGGGCTCGACCTACCCTGCCGGCTATGTCACCGACGGCATCATCATCAAGATTGTGGCTTCGGGAGCGTAAGGCTGGAGCTTGTACATAGAGACCGGGGTCCCTCGGGGAACCCTGGATCCTGCAGATAGATAGCGAATTGGTACTCTTGGTGCTGCGCCCTTCCCGTGCCTCCCGTCTTTTGTGTGAACCATTCCAATAATTCTTCGCATTACACCCTTGCCATTGAATCCTTGTGGGGGCCGTCCAATGAAGCGACGGGAACCCGGTCACGTTCTTCCATTTTACCTGCATCTCGAGCATCAATGCTACCTCAACCATCGAGGTGCGGCAGCGAAGCTTAGCGATCTTTCCCCGGAAACTAAGGCGGGACAAGGCGGAATAAGCATTCCCCCTGCATTGGCACCCTGGGATGATGAGCTTGTCAGCAACCTAAGCCAAACATGGCTCCAGCCGGTGACCACCCCGAGGGATTTCTCTTTTTCCACGGCTTACATCTGAAGACATGCAAGGCACACAGACACCCTGGTATAACATAGTAAGCCGATCAAGATACGTGTTACCGCAATAGGAAGGTATCTGCTGTGCCTTTTGCTTGGCTTCCAGTTGCAGGGCTTAATCACGAGAACTATTCAATGTTACCTCACTTACACGATATTTCATTGCCTATTGATTCGCCCGTCACTCGCATATGTCAGCAGAGACACACACTCAGCGTATAGAACTATCGAAAAAAAAGTCCCATTTCTGCGCCCCCGACACGCATGGCAGATTTGTGCATCCGTAAAATTAAATCACAACGTCCTACGGATACAAAAGCCCCTCCTTCAGATGACTTCTCGCGTTACATTCGGGTCTATGGAGGGTGAGTTCCTGACTCCAGCGCTATCAGAAGTCCGTGAATAAGGCCGGTCATGCTTGTGTATGCCTGAGCGAAATCCATAGCCATTGATCCCACCAATCCGTTTGCCCTCCCGCCGTTTATCTTCTTCGTAACTTCGTTGTTTCTCGCATCAGACCTAGGCACGCCAGAGAGAACCAAGCTTGGATTACCTCTGAGCGTACACGAGATGGCGACAAACTCGTTTCTGCTGAGCCTGTTGGCGGGCATCCTCCTTCTCCTGTCATCTATTAACGTTGCGCGTGCAGACCTAGAGATCACCGATGTGTTTACAGTTCAAACAGGGGGAGATAGCACTGGCGGCTGCGACGCCCGTCTGAATCCCTTGTTGGACGACTGGCTCACTGAATCACTTTTCAGCCTCACTGCCGCTATAGATGCGGTGGACGCCTATGATCGACGGTTTGAAGTCCGCTACGCCATGCTGGCATTCTTTTCATTCGAAATTCAGGACACAATTGGCACCCAACAGGAAAATCCAACCAGGTATCGTACCTGGAACAAAATCAGACGTAAGAATTCTACACCAGCTTTGGCTCTTCTTCCGAATTTTCCACGGAAGTACCCGGCCCATCATGTCGTGTCTAGCTGACGTCGTGATCAGAGAATATGGCCGAGGTCAAGAATCTTTTAGAACACGACACAGTTCTTCCGGGCGGGGGTGATTTCAAGTTCCCCAAAGAAAGGTTCTGGCTCCATTGCCATAGTACCTTCCTGACGGAGCAGTCAAGTACGAGTCCAGCACTGGATTATGAGGGCAAAGAGATAAAGAAGGACGACAAAACCATCACCATCCAAGAGTTGGACGCTTACCAAAAAGCAATCGATAAGGAGCCAAACGTCAAACCGTGGTGGTCCGGCACGAACACGGACCAGAACGGCTACTACTTCTCGGAGGATGGCCGCAATTACTGCCAGGGCGATCACCTCGGTGTCACCGCGTCAATCAAGCTACTTCAAGCTGAGGGCGGCCAAGCTGTGACCAAACCTGAGATAGCCTCCGTCATCCTCTGTCCGTACGCCTTCGACAATACCAGGAACCCAGACAACTATCGCGATGCAAACGCCAAGCTGAAAAAGGACGTACGTCTGGAAGATGTCTTGCCCAAGAGTACAACCCTTGTCCACGAGGCCTTCCACGCCGTCCATGGGGACAAGTTCCTTGCGGGCAGCGATGAGAAATGTGCGTAGACTCCCAATCCATGTCTCCGTCTACGCGTTGCATAAATATTTGATCACTATGCTAACCTGAGACGTCCCAGATGGCATCATCGAATGCTTGACGATGAGTGGTGAAAACCAACAGAAAAACCCCGAAAATTACGTCTTTTTCATCGCCTATATGAATCACAGGTACGGCAAGGTTGATGCAGGAGAAGAAACCGAACCTTGGGCTATTAACAAGCTTTGGGAAATGGGGGTTGGGTCCAAAAAAGACAGATTTGGGGCGGTCAGAGAAGTGACTTTTATCAATGATGATGATTGAGGGGCATGGATAGACGAAATCGACTTGGAGTTCTGTGTAGGCTGGGTTGCCTCGTTATCAAGAAGAAGTAGTCTTGGTGCATTCAAAGCGCTATTCTGTCGGACTTCGCTGAATCGACTCATTCAAAGTTTGCAAACATTTGACAAGCCCATTTGTGCCTCGGCCACTGATCCGGTCCGAAGAGAGCATCTCAATGCTCTCGCAAATCAGAGACTGTACATCAGGACCCATATCGATACTGTTGCGCGTATGCTGTAGTACTATTACCGCAGCGATGAATAACGAATGTGCCTGAGTCCACGTCAGATTGAAGACGAAATCAGCTTGGGATGACGCGGGAGTCGATGATCGGAGCAGACTACCCGCAGCACGCAGCAGTTCTATACAAGACAACATTTCCTCGTCATTCGACACAAAACTCTGGTGGTGACCATCGGCCGCAGCTTTAGCGAGTAGTAAAGCCTCGCATTGCTGAAATGTTCCGCAAGCCCTGAAATATTGTTGCAGGCCGGCATCGATCCTCTAGGTCAATCGCTGTAGCATCAAAGCCCTCGATATTTGAATCGTCAAATAAATTGAAGAACTCAAGAATGTCGGCGCCGTTCTCAAATGAGAGTGAGTCGGCTCCAAAATCGGGGAACATCGCGTCTAATGTCGGGTGAGCTGACGTATCTACCGGCTGCTCGCGGGCATAAAGAACGTCTGCGTTCTCTCTGAACACTAGTTCTTTTAGCTGTCTGGCTTCGACTCCCAGATTCGAGTCCGAAGAGTTGTCGTCTCTGAAGAAGCTTAAAGGTCCCTTTCTTAATCGGTCGAACAGGGTACCGCATTGTTGGGCTGCCGGCCATTGCTTGGCAAGGAGTATCTACTTGGCTCAGTATTGGGGCTCTGCCAGAGGACATGGGGGTTCTACGCACGAATATGCTGGATATCTGGTGCACAACCTCGAAGATTTGCGCGATTGTGTAGTTTCGGCGGATAAGAGAACGA